TCATCTCCAACTGGTTCCTTGAACATGACAATGAGGTCACTGGACTCCAATGGCCTCCACAATCACCAGATCTCAGCACACATCAATGAAGAAGAAAAATGGCTTATTTGCAAAATTTTATAATAGAAAAAAAGAAAAAGTTTTCAGTCTTTTTTCATTTGTTTAGCAAAAAACACGATCCAAGCAACAGCACGATCCTGTGCATATGACATCGAACAACCTCCCTTCCCATTGAACACCTCCTCCCACCCTTGGGCCCCGCAGCAGCCAATACGAGCTGCCATGGCCTTGGCTATATATTACTGTATACCTGGTGGCAAGGTTGGTAAATGTGTCCGTTGGAAAAAAAAAAAGCTTTGAGGTGATTTCTTCAAAAGGTATTTATTAGTTATACAAAAGTAAAATAAATAAAAAAACATCAACACGTGTCGCGGCCATTTCATGTAGACGGGCCTAGGGGAATGATGAAGGCGATGAATGAGGATAAATGTCAAAAAAGTATCATTCTGGTAAAAAAAATATTGCTACTGTTAGTTTCAGCCACTCTTAAAATGTATGCAATACGTTGGGGCACCATTTTTTTGTTTTTTGTGATGTGTCAATAAATAAATGAAATTATATGAACTGATGGATAAATAAATGAATAAATGTCACTATACTGGGGCAGCGCAGTGGCTAAGTGGTCAGCACTTCTGCCTGGCAGCGCTGTGGTCTTTGGTTTGAATCCCGATCATGGTACCACCTGCCTGGAGTTTGCATGTTCCCCCCATGTGGGTTTCCTCCCACACTCCAAAGGCATTTATTTATTTATTACAGGTACTTCTATAGCGCCATCAATTTACACATATATTGTACATTCACATCAGTCCCCGCCCCTGAGGAGCGTACAATCTACAGTAAAGTCCCTAATTCACATTCATACATACACATACTAGGGGCCAATTAACCTACCAGCATGTCTTTGGAGTGTGGGAGGAAACCAGAGTACACTCATGCAGGCACAGGAAGAAAACATGCAAACTCCAGGGAGCTGGTGCCGTGGTTGGAATTTGAACCAGCAACCCCAGTACTGCCTCTACCCTAGCCCATAAATCAGGCTTTTGGCTGCCCCAGCATACCTGTAAAGGTAAGAACAACAGACGTTCCCCTATCTTCCCTAGCCTATAAATCAGGCTTTTGGCTTCCCCAGCATACCTGTAGAGGTAACAACAACAGACGTTCCCCTATCTACCCTAGCCCATAAATCAGGCTTTTGGCTGCCCCAGCATACCTGTAAAGGTAAGAACAGATGTCCTGCTATCTACCCTAGCCCATAAATCAGGCTTTTTGCTGCCCCAGCATACCTGCAAAGGTAAAAATCTATTCTTGGCAGAGTCCATAGTGGTGGAATCCAGATGCTGGGCAAACTGCAGGTCCCAGCGATCCTCCAACATTTCGGAAGGCTCCTGGACACTCCTGGCCTGCTGGAATCAGGAATGGACCACAACAGCTCAACATTGAAGACAGCGCACTTGAATCCTCGAAAACCCCCCCACAGACCCACATTCCTTTTACAGCCATACAGTGAGTCAGGCCCAGAAAGTCCATGAAGAACACCCCAGGAGTGCAATCAGAGGGTGTCAACCCCATCCCTCCTGGCCAGGACAGCATCTTTTTTATTAGTAGCAACCCACCTACACACAGGTATTCTATTATCAGATAACTTGCAGGAACCATTTACAAACTCTCCGTAAATAATGTAAGGTTTCACAATTTTAGAATCTGAATTTATTTATTTCAGGTACTTCTATAGCGCCGTCAATTTACGCAGCGCTTTACATATATACAGTGAGGAACAGAAGTATTTGAACCCCCTGCGATTTTGCAAGTTCTACCACTTAGACATCATGGAGGTGTCTGAAATTCACATTGTAGGTGCATTGCCACTATGAGAGACCGAATTAAAAAAAATTTCAGGAAATCACATTGTATGATTTTTAAAGAATTTATTTGTCTTGCACTGCTGAACATAAGTATTTGATGCCACACATGCTCCAATCTCCTACTCTCAACCTCATCTGCCCACAACTGACACACTGGGCATATGCAACTACCTTCTGTTTGCTAGAAAGCAAGCAATTGGCCAAAAGTGTAGTGAATACTCCAGGGCAACCATGGACAGCCAGTGCAAAGGGGACTGAGAATGGGCACAGGGTGGTACATCCATTCTGCTGCCTGTATTAGGATTCTTCAATCCTTTTCTTGTCGAACTTGTTTTAGATGGAGAGGGAAATGGATACGGGATACCCCAAAACAATAAAAAATGTCCTCCCCTCTGTGGACTTTATTTAAAAAAAAATAGTATTGGAGGATCAATCCCTGGGTTATGAAGTTATCTGACCCTACCCAATCCATGGGAGGCGGACCCAGCAGGTGGGGAGAAGATAAATGTTTCGGAAGATCTGATCAAACTCTCTTTCCCTGGGGACTTTCCCCTTGGAAGGGGAGAGCATGTGTGTGTTCCAGAGATGTTGCGGCTGCTGGGCCCCAGCAGGTGTTATGGCTGAGGGCCTGAAGGAAGCTGGACTCTAGGAAACTTGCTGAAGGGAACCTGTGGAATCTGAAGGGGTAGGTGCCTTCTGCCTGAGGTTCCAAGCACAGAGCCTCCAGAGAGGCACAGAGATGCCAGAGAGTGCATAAAATGATACCCTGGGGCATACCCTGGGGCACCACTGTGTGCTCGCTCCTGAACCAGCTGCTCTATACCCCCATAAGACACATAGAGACATGCCTCGGCCCTGACCCCTACTCTCTCCTCATTGGCTCACTGGCTGTGGCCATTGGGCTCCCAATGCTGTCTCAACCAATGAGGAGGGAGAGTCCCCGTACAGCTGAGGCTATCATGCACATCGGAGGGGGCTCAAGTAAGGATTGGGGGGGCTGCTGCACATAGAAGGTATTTTTCATTCCATGCATGGAAACCTTGAGCCTTTAGAACCACTTTAAGGACTAGGAGTACTCACAGAGTCTCAGGTATACTGGCTGCCCGCTCTTTCTTTACCATTATTTTTTGAGGTGGCTACTGAAGGGCCAATTACTGCTGGAACAAGATTTTTGTCTTCCAAGATTTTGTGCCTTGTGTGTCCTGCAACCTTGAACCCTCCTCCCTGCATTTGCTCAGGCCTATAATAAATCTTTAAAAGACAACCCTAGACTGAGCCTGAATTTGTTGGTGTGCTTCTGGGCCTCTGAACAGGTAAGGAGGACACAACTTATTTCCAGCAGTAGGCACTACATTGGGTTGATACACGTTGGGATAAGATGAGGTGTGACATTAGAAGAGGATGAAGTAAGAGAGGATTGGGGAAGGTTAAGAAAGCAAATAATAACTCAATACATGAAAGTCAGCAACCTGCCGAGCAGAATGGGAGATGTTGATGGTTTCAGTGATGAGAATGGAGTTGGTATTTCAGAAACACGGCTTGGCTCCTCCCAAGACTGGGCTGTTTGTATTCATGCTGATCCTCTTGTTTAGAGGGACACGGGACATAGAAAAGATGGAGGGGGGTTTCTCTATGTTAGATGTGATGTGAAAGTGAGGAAGAAAGATGATCTTGTGGTTGGAGGTGGTGATGGTGCGGAGGAGGAATTACGGGAGGAATAATAGATGGGTCTATGGACTGATGGGCTTATCATTGGAGTATACTACAGCCATCCTGAGGTCTATAAGAAGGGGGAGAGTCGGCTGTTCCAACAAGGTGATGGTGCGGAGGAGGAATTACGGGAGGAATGATAGATGGGTCTATGGACTGATGGACTTATCATTGGACTATACTACAGACGTCCTGAGGTCTATGAGAAGAGGAAGAGTTGGCTGTTCCAACAAGGTGATGGTGCGGAGGAGGAATTATGGGAGGAATGATAGATGGTCTATGGACTGATGGACTTATCATTGGAGTATACTACAGCTGTCCTGAGGTCTATGAGAAGGGGGAGAGTCGGCTGTTCCAACAAGGACAAGCTGGGAACACCAAACTACTAAGACACAAGATGGAGACTAAAACCTACAGGATGGGCCGTACTTGTAGTGTTAGAAAAAGGAATAAAGAAGAACATTTCATCATACAAATCTGAAGGAAGACTTTTATCAATCAACTTACAAAGAATATCACGAGTTCAAGAATATAAATATTTAATGATTATTTGTGTCACTCAAAAAAAAAATGCACTCATATATGTGTTATTATCAGGTAGATATGAAATGGTACATCTAAAAATGTCATATTTTCCACTTTCACCCAGTAGGTGGCACTCTCCAGGGAAAAAATGCTGTCTGTGCAGGCTGATCAGTCCTGTCTTGTAGTCTGATCTCCCGTTCTCTTCATCCACAAGTAATATCTTGCTTCTCTCTCACCATGATGTCCTCCATGGAAGCTTCTGCTGAAGGTCAGGGGAGATCAGACTACACTGCTAGAGGGACCCAACCAGCTGTGACCCCCCCCCCTCCTTCTCTCTCACCATGATGTCCTCCGTGGAAGCTTCTGCTGAAGGGCAGGGGAGATCAAACTACACTGCTAGAGGGACCCAACCAGCAGAGACCCCCCCCCCCCATCTCTCTCCTAGCAGAGGAAGCCAGACACAACTTTGAAGTCTTTAGTGATCTCTGATCTCCTTATAAAGTGTTTCTTCCATGATAAAGATCAGAGGAGCGCTCAGCCATGTGTTTTCTGGGGTGTATATCAAGGTGTGCTTCTTCCCTGTGTGAGATCTCTGATGTATGGCAACATATCATCCATAGAGAAGACATTTCCCACACTCAGGACACTAATACACCTTGAGGGTTGTGTTTGCTCTCTAATATATGGCAAGACAAGGCTTCTGTGAAACACATTTTCTGCACTCAGGACAGGCATATGACTTCTCCCTCTGTGTGGGATCTTTGATGTTTGACAAGTGCTGCTTTCCGTGTATAACATTTCCCGCACTCAGGGCAGGTAAACACCTTATCTCGCTTGTGGCATATTTGATGTTCAGTTAGATTGGATTTTTGTGAAAAAAATTTTCCACACTCGGTGCAGGAATACGGCTTCTCACCTGTGTGGGACCTATGATGTGTGTTAAGATGGGACTTCTGTGAAAAACGTTTCCCGCACACAGGGCACACATACGGCTTCTCGCCCGTGTGAAATCTTTGATGTATAACAAGGTCTGATTTCCGTGTATAACATTTTCCACACTCTGGGCAAGAATGCGGCTTCTCGCCCGTGTGCAATTTCTGATGTCTGCAAAGACAGTACTTATCTGAAAAACATTTCCCGCACTGAGGGCAGGAAAATTTCTCCTCCCGCTTGTGAGATCTTTGATGTCTAACAAGTTCTATTTTCTCTGCAAAACATTTTCCGCACTCAGGACAGGAAAATGGCTTCTCCCCCGTATGAGATCTCTGGTGTCTGACCAGTTCTGATTTATGAAGAAAACATTTCCCGCAGTCAGAACAGGAATACGGCCTCTCCCCTGTGTGCGATCTCTGATGCCTGGAAAGATTGGACTTCTGTGCAAAACATTTCCCGCACTCAGGACAGGAATACGGGATCTTCCCTGTGTGAGAGGTTTCATGTATAACAAGTTCTGATTTCCATGAAAAACATTTCCCGCACTCAGGGCAAGAATACGGCTTCTCACCCGTGTGAGATCTGTAATGTAAGATAAGTTCTGACTTATGTTGAAAACATTTCCCGCACTCAAAACAGGAATAAAGTTTCTCCCCTGTGTGAGATGTCTGATGTACAGCAAGACTTAATTCAGGTTAAAACTTTTTCCATCCCCCACAATATGAGGTTGCTCAGAGTCAGAGGGATCCCATGGTCTCTTCACACTGGGAAGTCCACCATCCATAGTGGAGCTCATTGTCTTTTCTCCGGCACAATCTCCTGGGATGTCCTCATCTTCCATTTTACAACCTGGAGATAAAGTGAGACGATCCTTTGAGGGTTTCTCCATGGCGGGTCCTGGAAAAATAGAAAAACATCATCAATATATAGGAGAGGGTTAGTTCACTTCCATCAAGATTCCATCTGGATCAGGGAGATAGGAGGGAGCAGATGTTCTCTGTGGATGTCCAAACTAGCTGGGACTCCTCCCCTCTTCAAAGAAACTTTGGTCCTCCCAGATCACTTCTACATTTACACCGCCTTGTCAGAGGAGCAGGAACCAATGGGGGCTGGGGGGGCGGTAACAGAGCAGAGATAAGAGAAGAATATATTCTGGTCACCTGTGTTGCTCTCTGTAGAAGTGTCCTCCTCTATGAATGTCCTCCTCATTCCAGCCTCCTCCGTATATTGCTGATCATCCCTCACATACGTCTCTTCTACTTCACCCTCAACTTTCATGTTCATCAGATCTTCACCCTAAACCAACAGAATGGCAGAAAATAACATTTGTAACATAGAAGGATTTATGATGGGAGATCACATAGAACATCTCATCTTGTAGAGTCCACACATCGTCTCCACATGTCAGAGTGTTCCATCACTTTATGTTCCCGACCCTCAACTCCACCGACCTGATGATGGTGAGGGATGGTGTGACCTTCCTGTGTGGAATCCTGGGAATACAGAGAACGGGGACATCTCTCTGGTGGGTTCCTGGTATTAGGAGGATCCATCATATTGTCTTTGCCTCCTTCAGAAAACTCCATCATCATTCCATACTCCTCATCCTCCTCTTTAAACTCTTCTTTCACAACAATATTATAATCCCCGAGGATTCCACTCTAAATAACAATAAAATGTTCATTATTACATAGAAACATGTTTCTGTGTAAATCTCAGCTACCAGTGATTGTTCCTCACCTACCTGATGATGGTGAGCGACAGTGTGACCTTCCTGTGTGGAATCCCGGGAATACAGAGGATGGGGACATCTCTCTGGTGGGTTCCCATGACTGGATCCATCTGTAGGAAACACACACACTGACTGAATCCATTGTTTCTATGTGTTTATCAGATGATGGGGGATCTAGGTGGACCCTCCGTACTGCTCTCTCCTTTCCAATAAAGTCTCCTCTTACCCGGTGATGTGAGGGGCGGCTGATTGTCCATCATGACGTCCTTGTAGAGGTCCTTGTGTCCTTCTAAATACTCCCACTCCTCCATGGAGAAATAGACAGTGACACCCTGACACCTTATAGGAACCTGACACACACAATGATACAGTCACCATCCAGACACATCCCTTGTCTGTTACTGGAGAATGTCCCAGAATTCCCCAGCACCGCTCACCTCTCCTGTCAGCAGCTCCATCATCTTCTTGGTGACTTCTAGAATCTTCTCCATGTTGTGTCTCTCAGGCTTTAGGGAGTCACATGGAGGCACTGTGATGGTCATATGATCACCTGACTTCAGAAGAGGAAATCTCTGTATTGGGGAACCAATAGGAATATCATGTTAGACTCCCAAAATCCTCCTTACCTCTGCGGTCAGGTCTGTGTTTTATTAATATTGATGAGTGATGTCATGTGACCTCCCAGAATCCTCCTCACCTCTCTGGTCAGGTCTGTGTTTTAATAATAGAGATGAGTGATGTCATGTGACCTCCCAGAATCCTCCTCACCTCTCTGGTCAGGTCTGTGTTTTATTAATAGAGATGAGAGTGATGTCATGTGACCTCCCAGAATCCTCCTCACCTCTCCGGTCAGGTCTGTGTTTTATTAATAGAGATGAGAGTGATGTCATGTGACCTCCCAGAATCCTCCTCACCTCTCCGGTCAGGTCTGTGTTTTATTAATAGAGATGAGAGTGATGTCATGTGACCTCCCAGAATTCTCCTCACCTCTCCGGTCAGGTCTGTGTTTTATTAATAAAGATGAGAGTGATGTCATGTGACCTCCCAGAATCCTCCTCACCTCTCCGGTCAGCAGGTAGATGATCTCCAGGGCGAGGTTTAGTATCCTCTCAGTCATGTGACTCCGGTCCTCCTCCATCCTCCTTGATGTGGTCATGTGATCCATGCGGGTTCCTCTATAGACGAATAGCAGACAATTAGTGATATTCACAACTTTATACATAAAGGTCCTGTACAATGCTCCAAACAGATCAAAACCTAGCCATGTGTGCTCGGGTGTTCCTCCCCATCTTGAACTCTGACCACACTCCCTATAGACCAACATTAGGTGCATTAATGTGAACTACAAAATCCTTGGGAAAATTTGGGGAGTACAGAACTGGCTGTGGTACAAAGAGCCCCTCTATAAGACCTGAAAGATCCCTTCTGTTCTGAGGACCATTTCACCATAACAGAATCTGTCCCATTGGTTGGGTCAGTCAACAGGACCTCAGACATTGCAAAGTTTGAGATGAACCTCCTACAGTATTGAGTTGTATCCCATTATCTTTTGTGTGTGGGATGCGGCCAGACTTGAATGGCATTTGTTTAGTTTAACTGAGGTTTTCCATCATCACATAATTTCACTCCAGAATCACAACGAGCATCAAAGCAGTGGAAGCACGCCGACTCACCACCACCCAAAAAAATGTTGGATTTAAAGTAAAGTGATGTGCAAACGCGTCTATGGGAATAATGGCTTGGTTTGATCACTAAGGGTGTCCTTCTTCTCCAGGACAACGCATGAGCTCAGGCTGTCCTAGGATTGTTCAGGTGGACTCACAAATCTTTCCATGCTGAAGTTTTCCATACCGAAGCTTTCCATGCAGAAGTTAAACGCAAATATAGCGGGGGTGGAAGTAGAAAAATAAATGCAGTTTCCACTCCTTGAAATTCGTTCTTTTATTATATAAACTCAAAAGTGCCGGTTTGACTTGAGTGCCCCTCATATAGGAGCCCTTATTAGCAGATCTTTGGTTATCTGTGATCTGATAGACCTCATTAGCGGATCTCTGGTTATCGGTGATCTGGTAGACCTCATTAGCAGATCTCTGGTTATCGGTGAGCTGATAGACCTCATTAGCGGATTTCTGGTTATCAGTGATCTGATAGACCTCATTAGCAGATCTCTGGTTATCAGTGAGCTAATAGACCTCATTAGCAGATCACTGGTTATAGGTGATCTGATAGACCTTATTAGCAGATCTCTGGTTATCAGTGAGCTGATAGACCTCATTGGCAGATCTCTGGTTATCGGTGAGCTGATAGACCTCATTAGCAGATCTCTGGTTATCAGTGAGCTGATAGACCTCATTAGCAGATCTCTGGTTATCAGTGAGCTGATAGACCTTATTGGCAGATCTCTTGGTATTGGTGAGCTGATAGACCTCATTAGCAGATCTCTGGTTATTGGTGATCTGATAGACCTCATTGGCAGATCTCTGGTTATCGGTGAGCTGATAGACCTCATTAGCAGATCTCTGGTTATCGGTGAGCTGATAGACCTCATTGGCAGATCTCTGGTTATCGGTGAGCTGATAGACCTCATTAGCAGATCTCTGGTTATAGGTGATCTGATAGACTTTATTAGCAGATCTCTGGTTATCAGTGAGCTAATAGACCTCATTAGCAGATCTCTGGTTATAGGTGATCTGATAGACCTCATTAGCAGATCTCTGGTTATCAGTGAGCTGATAGACCTCATTGGCAGATCTCTGGTTATCAGTGAGCTGATAGACCTTATTGGCAGATCTCTTGGTATTGGTGAGCTGATAGACCTCATTAGCAGATCTCTGGTTATTGGTGAGCTGATAGACCTCATTGGCAGATCTCTGGTTATAGGTGATCTGATAGACCTCATTGGCAGATCTCTGGTTATCGGTGAGCTGATAGACCTCATTGGCAGATCTCTGGTTATCGGTGAGCTGATAGACCTCATTAGCAGATCTCTGGTTATCGGTGAGCTGATAGACCTCATTGGCAGATCTCTGGTTATCGGTGAGCTGATAGACCTCATTAGCAGATCTCTGGTTATCGGTGAGCTAATAGACCTCATTAGCAGATCTCTGGTTATAGGTGATCTGATAGACCTTATTAGCAGATCTCTGGTTATCAGTGAGCTGATAGACCTCATTAGCAGATCTCTGGTTATCAGTGAGCTGATAGACCTCATTAGCAGATCTCTGGTTATCAGTGAGCTGATAGGCCTTATTGGCAGATCTCTGGTTATCGGTGAGCTGATAGACCTCATTAGCAGATCTCTGGTTATCGGTGAGCTGATAGGCCTCATTAGCAGATCTCTGGTTATTTGTGAGCTGATAGACCTCATTGGCAGATCGCTGGTTATCGGTGAGCTGATAGACCTTATTGGCAGATCTCTGGTTATCGGTGAGCTGATAGACCTCATTAGCAGATCTCTGGTTATCGTTGAGCTAATAGACCTCATTAGCAGATCTCTGGTTATAGGTGATCTGATAGACCTTATTAGCAGATCTCTGGTTATCAGTGAGCTGATAGGCCTCATTAGCAGATCTCTGGTTATTGGTGAGCTGATAGACCTCATTAGCAGATCTCTGGTTATCGGTGAGGAAAAGAAACAGTAGGAAATTCTGGAGAAATCTTATAGGAATTTGTGCTCAAATCATTGCAAGAACTGCTAAACTCATCTTCCCTCGAACCCTCATTATTTCTTTTAAGGGTCTGTAGGACAACAACCTCGCCCCTAAAATTATGGATTTTTCCTTCCATTCCAAGAATGTCACTCTCAGGGAAGGCTGTAGATGTGGCTTCTCGTGATTGACCAACCAGCCCAGACATTGAGATGGGTCATGGCCACATGAAGCTTGCTTTGAAGCACGGTTTCTGCCATGAAGAGTAAGTCATTCAGTTTTAGAATTACTTAAA